TTCAATGTCACCTCCCAGGCTTTTCTCTACCTAATCTGGAACATGCTGGAGTGTATTCAGTGAAATCTGTTTTCCTGCAACAGGATTTTACTCCCAGTGCAGATTATGTAAATCTGAAGGAGACGGCACAAAGGCTTAAATATGTCACAAGAACCAGATAAGTTGGGATCTGTGTGTGAGTGTGTTTCGGTGTGAAAATGCACCATATATGAGGCGTTAATTATCATGAACTTCATGATGTAAATGTTTGTGTGTCTCTGTATTTAAAGGCACTCGGTGTGACTGAAATGATGTTCTGATTCTGATTATGTATTGTTTCATTTATAATGCTGCAATTATGTTATTGTTAACCAAAGATATAAACGGCCACAATATGGGCACAGTCACACCATTATGTTTTTCCATCTCTATCCCATCTATTATGGTGGTTTCCATACATTTGTGGAATCAGCTGGGTGGTGGTTGATGACATGCCCTCTCATTCCCCCTGGGTCCCTGGGGACTTGTTCCAGGTCAAAGGTGATGGTAGGTTAGATGTTAATATGGATGGGCCTGATTGGAACCCTGGAGAAATGAGTTCATAGTCTATAAAACGTTAAACCAACTCTGTGATGTAACTTGTGAGGGGTTCGTGGGGGGATGTGTGTGTATACAGAATATATATACAGAATATGTATGGGTTTTATTGTTTGGTTTCAATAGGTTTACATGCAATAGTTAACTCATTGTGTGTGTGTATGCACATATACGCCTATGCGCTAGCCCAGTAACCTCCCCTTTCCTGTCATGCCACCTCTCCTCTGCATGGTATGCATGTGCAGTGCTTGACTTGGGCAGGAGCTCACCCGAGATGAGTATCGCCACCTCAAATTCTCTAATGCTTGAGCTCCTGTTCCTCTTATAGAATATTACCTCAAAAGTATTGTGGAGCTCCTGCACCTAAATGTAAACCGTACTGGCACCTATTTCAGTCCAAGTCAAGCACTGTCAGCATGTGTGAATATATAACTGCTCCAGAGAGTGAGACCTTATCTGCAACAGGTAACCCATCCCCGAACACACTCCTCTAGATAGCTGCCCTTGGTCTCAAACCACAAGGTCAAGGGTCCTGTGTAGGGGAGGCGGGCCGTAGTCAGGGACTCTGGCACTGTGTCCACCACTTCATTTTAATTAGTGTCACTGCTCTATGGACTGTGACATCATGCCTGGATAAGAGTTGTTATTGTCCTTCTATACAAGCTATACAGAAAGCAGATCCATCTGTTTACAAGGGGTTCATAGAGTTGTGGGTGATAGTGGCCAATCATATTCTAAAGGAACATTTAAGTCAAGCATATACTGTGAAATAGGGTCATTTCACTGGCATAAGTGGCATGTGAGGAGTTCCAGAGGTAAAATGCAGGTGATGTTTACCTGTGTAACTAGAAGACGTGGTCATCATAAATGTATGAGGGCTTTGTAATGCACCTGTTGGCTCCATGCCAGGAAGGAGTGTCACCTTTCATGATGGGGAACAGTTGTAGTGTGTTCGTAGTATGGATGTGAATAGGTATTATAATTTGTGTGTGTGGGGGGGGGTCAGTGTGTGTGTGTATGTATGAGCATGCATGTGTTTGTGTGTTGTAAGAATGTAAAAGCTTTATGTGCATGGGTAATTGAGTGAGGGAGTTTCTTTGGCCAAGGGTGTGTTCATATGTATGCATGTCTTTTTTATGACGGAATGCAATTTGGCTGCTTCTAAGAGATACTTTTTCTTGGAGAGTTCTTTATTGTCATTAGTGATTCTGCTAAAAGCTGACCAATGGTCTCCACTGGTCAAAGGTGACGTGGAGAAGTACACTCCCACCGAGTATGAATTGGTACTTCAGAGTTGTGGCTTTTTATAGTTTTATGGATGTTTAATAACTGCATTAACCATGTAACTAAGGTTCAACACAACAGGCATTTGTGGCAGAAACCAACCAACACAGGCCTCTATAGCTACCTGTTACAGAGCAATGACTTGTTGTTTTCACAATTACATTATCATGAGCCAAATATGATGCTCTCAAATCTGATAAGAGGATTTAACATTGCTGGTATTCCCAAGCTATTTCAATCATGTTCTGATGAAATGGATATGAACATACATGCTCAGTGTTGAATCCAAATGAATCCTTCTAATTCTGTCTACTCTGGACCTTTCTGTCTATATGTGAGTGTCTTTGTAGCTCAAGTCATCAGCTGGCCTTTTTATCTGAGGTGCTCAGAAGAACACCACCACTTAGAAACTGTCAAACTGAATCCCTGCTGTTGATCTTAGCGCTCAGCTCTCTCTCTCCTCTTTCTGGCGTGCATCCAGGTGTCTGCTGCAGTCAGAGTAGGATTCCTGTTCGAACACTGCAGCCTTCAGTTTAGCTCCAAATTAAACTATGCAGGGTAGAAGTAGGGTATCAAAGTGCTTGTCATATTTTTATCTTCAATGCTTAGTTCCTTTATTACAAAGGTGAGTCTTTCTGGTATTTCTTCATTAGACCTGATGTTGTTTCTTCATGCACAGGTGTCAGCCGTGTTGCTTGCCATGTATTCTCTCAATTACTCTTTATAGCACTTTCCTATAAACATTCTGAAGAGGACTTTGACCTTATCTGTGCTTGCTTCCTCCAAAGGATGAAAACAAGAGGAACTGTGGCACTGCAGAGGTTATGCAGGGATGGTGTGGGGGTTGGTGTGGTAAGTGGGGTGGAGGGGGGATCCACATTCAGGAAGTGGGTTGGGTAGTGCGGTGGCAGTGCCCTGCCCTTGACCCTAGTGTTGCTGCCTCTCTGCGGTGCTGGGAACTGCAGAGCTGTGCTGTTCACTTCACTCAGATGATCTCATCTTGCAGGGGGCACCGCACGGCACGCTGCAGCCACATTCCAAGGAGCCAGGGCTGCAGTCTGAGCAGGTGACTACTCAGCTCAACTCAAGCACCCACAAACAAATGTGATTGATCAGCCTCTCTGCTGCCCGTCTGGGTGACTCGCTGCTGACACCTAATGATTGAAAAGGGTATAACAGCTCTCTCTACATGATGGGAATGGTCAAAGTATGGTGGTACTGTAAAGTATGTGGACACCCAGTCAAATTAGTGGAATCGGCTATTTCAGCCACATGGACAAAATCGAGCACACAGCCATGCAATCTCCATAGACAAACATTGGCAGTAGAATGGCCTTACTGAAGAGCTCATTGACTTTCAACGTGGCACCGTCATAGGACGTCACCTTTCCAACAAGTCAGTTCGTCAAATTTGGGGAAGGCCCTTTCCTGTTTCAGCATGACAATGCCCCCGTGCACAAAGCGAGGTCCATACAGAAATGGTTTGTCGAGATCGGTGTGGAAGAACTTGACTGGCCTGCACAGAGCCCTAACCTCAACTCCATCGAACACCTTTGGAATGAATTGGAACACCGACTGCGAGCCAGGCCTAATCGCCCAACATCAGTGCCCGACCTCACTAATGCTCGTGGCTGAATGGAAGTAAGTCCCCGCAGCAATGTTCCAACATCTAGTGGAAAGCCTTCCCAGAAGAGAGGAGGCTGTTATAGCAGCAAAGGGGGGACCAACTCCATATTAATGGCCATGATTTTGGAATGAGATGTTGGACAAGCAGGTGTCCACATACTTTTGGTCATGTAGTGTATGTTTCACCATCTGTGCCTCTCTGTAACATTGGTGCCAATCATGAAACATGCTACCCCCTTTGTTTTCTAATTGAATCGAGGGCAGGCCATTGTCTGGTTCATGACTTCAGTGATTAAAACGTCTCGACCAAGGGACATCTGGTTTACATCATGCATTTAGTTTATTTTAGAACATTGATATGTATTATGATTAATATTGCATGTATTCCATAGGTTTAAGGTAAAGGAGACGCCTCTCTCTTCAATGTATATAACAATAATTATTATTTAACTTCTATAGCGCTTTTCATTACAGAAATACTCTCAAAGCGCTTGAAAAAGCGAAACAAACAAGAATCAAATAAACTAGCTATATAGATAAGGTCTGGACTACAATTTTCAGTCAGAGTTTGACGTTTTGAAGGTTTCAAGCCTCCAAAAGATGGAGCGACAGTCAAGACGGAACCACATGGCTTGAGCAGATGGAGGATGTGGTCAATGGGGAGATGAGACAGCACAGTTCACTCTCCATTCAAGGCGTCTCACCGGTGCCTCGCCGTCCCAGCCATCGACTGCGACTTCTCTGTAGCCGTTGACTCTCTATGGTCTTGTAGATCGAGATGTTTGTTTTCAGGATAATGATGACAGTCCGTTCATAACTTATATAAGGGTGTTTGAGACCCATGTATGACAAAGTTTGTATGCTACTCTTACAGACCGGTCATTAATAAAACCTTGACTTGGATTCAAGTGCTTCTCGTTTGTTCTCTGTATCTAACCGTCAAGACTCAGAACCCTACAGTACCCTCCAACACAGTGCGAAGTCCAACACAAAGCTGTAGACATTATGCTCTAAAGTACAACAGAAGATAGACTGAAGGTTAAGTAGAGTACCCCATAACATGTTGTCTGATAAATCTAATTATTACAATCTTCTCTGTGTTAATCCATTACATGTACAAATATGTGGCATTGCTCACTCTGTAATATTAATACAAATGTGCTTTACAGATGAATATAATAACTACGATAAAAATGATGAACAGAAAGCATTAGGTTTCACATGGGAAAGAGTTAGAGCCATTCATGTGCCTTATGTTTGTTTGTTCACTGGTTTATTAAGTGCCCTCGCCCAGAGCCATCTAGCCATTAATTCAATGTACTTGCTAGGAGTGCTCGTCAGTCACAGCACGCAGCTTTGCTTCTCTCTGTATCCATTTCTGTGTCCAGTTCTTCTTTTATGAAATACATTGGACTTTGAAAGTCCCTCAGCTTTAAGCAATTGGTTATTACAGTATAAATAATATAATATATTCACTTGTATTTATTTTTACATGTACATTCATAATAGCTATGTTAAGCGTGTGTGAAGTTTGTACTGCGATGCTTCCTGGGTGTAAGGTTGTCTATGACGCGCGGGCTGACGTGGCCGTTGTAGTGTAGAGCCGGGTCCGAGTAGTTGTAGGGCGGAGGGTTGTACTGCTCCTGAACATATTCTGGTAAAAATTGAGGAATTCTGCACAGAAACAACACAAAGGAATGAGAGTTGTCCAACAGTAACACTTACATTTGGCACACTCAGTACAGACTTAAAAATGCCATTAGACATGGATACAGAGTAACAGACATAATCCAAATAGGTTGCATAATCTCTATCAGATGAATAGCCCTATGTGTGTCCATGCGACAATGGCCTATTTCCTATCATTATAATAACCCAATCCTACAATATCCCCAATGACCTCCCCAAGCATTAAGTCCATAGGGTATACGGGTCGTTCCATTTGAATTCTATACATATATATTTGCCCATGGTAGAAGTGGTGGCAAAACATTCAGGAGATAGAGGTTCATTATTTTTGTTGTTGTTGTTGATAAAATGTATAAACTCAGATCAGTTGTTTTAAATTATACAGTCAATCTTCCATCATAGAACTATAGATAATAGAATAGACATTCCCATTTAATTTGACATTCGACAGTGGGTGGACCGGCAGTCATCTATGTGGTAGTAATCGGAAGTTAACATTTCAGTAACACTTTACTTGACACCCAGTGTCATAACAGTTTATAACAGCTGACATAACCTGTCATAATATCATCATCATAACACTTTCATGACCCATATATTTACACCTGTTGTGACATATATTGCGTTATTTTATGGCTGGTTATGACACCTACTTAAGAGTGTCAAAACCCACATTTATTCAAATTAGTTTTATCCCTGCCAAGAAGTTTCTGTTCGTTTGAAAGTTTGTTTCTTAAATCTTTTGTTGTTGTTGTAATGAATTCTTTACGGTCATGTTTTTTTCATCATATTTTAAATAACTTGTAGAAAATACACTTTATGACACTGTCAAGAAGTATTATGACCATCATAATCATATATCACGTACATGCCCTTATGTCAGTCATCAGTCAAAAATAGGGTGTCTTGTCCTGTTCCTGAAATCTGCTCCTGCATTCATCCCAGGCATTAACAACAGAGCATTGGGGTAGGTGCATGTCTGAGATCAATGTATGTGCAATTACAATGCTAATTTAATATGGTCAATTTAAAAAAAAGGTGTATATAACATAAACATACTGTTGACACATAGGTTATGGTGTAATGGAATGTTTTGCCTTGTGTGGTAGGTTTTGTGGGTTTTGACACCCTTATGTAGGTTCCATAACCATCCATATTATAACAGGTTATGACAAGTTATGTCAACTGTTATGACATACACCACATGACCAAAAGTATGTGGACACCTGGTCGTCGAACATCTCACTCTTCTGGGAAGGCTTTCCATTAGATTAGGCCTGGCTCGCAGTTGGCGTTCCAATTCATCCCAAAGGTGTTAGATAGGGTTGAGGTCAGTGCTCTGTGCAGGCCAGTCAAGTTTTTCCACACCAATCTCGACAAACAATTTCTGTATGGACCTCGCTTTGTGCACGGGTGCATTGTCATGCTGAAACAGGAAAGGGCCTTCCCCAAACTGTTGCCACAAAGTTGGAAGTACAGAATCGTCTAGAATGTCATTGTATGCTGTAGCATTAAGATTTCCCTTCACTGGAACTAAGGGGCCTAGCCCGAACCATGAAAAACAGCCCCAGACCATTATTCCTCCTCCACCAAACTTTACAGTTGGCACAATGCATTGGGGCAGGTAGCGTTCTCCTGGCATCCGCCAAACTCAGATTTGTCCGTTGGACTGCCAGATGGTGAAGCGTGATTCATCACTCCAGATAACACGTTTCCACTGCTCCAGAGTCCAATGGCGGCGAGCTTTACACCACTCGAGCCGACACTTGGCATTGGGCATGGTGATCTTAGGCTTGTGTGCGGCTGCTCGGCCATGGAAAACCATTTTATGAAGCACCCGACGAACAGTTCTTGTGCTGACGTTACTTCCAGAGGCAGTTTGGAAATCGGTAGTGTGTTGCAACTGAGGACAGACGATTTTTACGCGCTACGCGCTTCAGCACTTGGTGGTCCCATTCTGTGAGATTGTGTGGCCTACCACTTCACGGCTGAGCCGCTGTTGCTCTTTGATGTTTCTACTTTACAATAACAGCACTTACAGTTGACCGGGGAAGCTCTATCAGGGCAGAAATTCAGGGCAGAAGAACTGACTTGTTGGAAAGGTGGCATCCTATGACGGTGCTGCGTTGAAAGTCACTGAGCTCTTCAGTAAGGCCATTCTACTGCCAATGTTTGTCTATGGAGATTGCATGGCTGTATGGTCGATTTCATACACCTGTCAGCAACGGGTGTGGCTGAAATAGCCGAATCCACTAATTTGAAGGGGTGTCCACATACTCTTGTATATATAGTTTATTATGACATGGTTATGACCGTGTAAAGTAAAAGTAAAGTGTTACCAACATTTCAATAGTGTATCAGCTAAATTGCAGTGGTCTGAAGGGACAGGTCCATTCTATTTCTATGATTGAAATGACACCCACCCTGTATTCAAGAGCTGTCTCAACCGATGGTGGGCACAACCCAAACGTCTCAGATTATGCACATTAGGGTCTAAGCTACAACATATGCGGAAAAAAAACAGAGTTTACACATTTCACGCTGTTTGTACGCGTTTAAGTTATATCAAGCTCAACCGTACATTTTTTCCAGTGATGAAGACTTGTCTCGTGGTATAGAGGGATATGCAAAATGTGTCAACTTTGAGCACCTCTATCTCTGGAATGTTTTGGCATTTAGGTACAAAAAGTCACTTTCTGACCTCTTCTACCATGGGAAAATATGTATGGCAAGTTTCAAACGGGGTGCGGTCAAAAAGTGAAATAAAATAGAATGACCCTTAAGTTATACTGTAAACCACAGTGTAAAGCAGGTCCAGGACTCTGCAGGATTACGTGTCTCTAGTCCAAAGCCACCTGCTCCAGATGCTGTACATCTGCAGACTATAGCAGTGCAGTCTGCAGACATGGAGATAATACACCAACAGGGCTGATGGACACACGGACACCAGATGTGCCTCGATTGTCCTGCAGAGGTCAGGTAGACCAACACAGTATTAAGGTTTTGTCCTGCTTCTGAGAACTACTGTGGATTGCATTTGATGTGATTACCAATGCAGTTAGTATCTAGCTAGTATATTGTGGTTGTGGGTTCATGAACTTTGTGTTGTGTTTCTACCCAAACTTGTATTTTTGTGACTATGTACTGCCTTGTAGTTCTATTGCAATAATGGTAAACGGTCCTCTGTAGCTCAGCTGGTAGAGCACGGCGCTTGTAACGCCAAGGTAGTGGGTTCGATCCCCGGGACCACCCATACACAAAAATGTATGCACGCATGACTGTAAGTCGCTTTGGATAAAAGCGTCTGCTAAATGGCATATTATATTTATTATATTATGTATCTTAACTGAGGGTAAACTATGCATCTGTTACTGTAGAAAAGACACTCCCTTGGTTATATTGTGGTTACAGTATCTACAGTATCTTTCTGAAGATACTATATACCATTACGTCTGTGTGAATGTTGCATACACCATGTTACTGTCTGTGAGGGTATTCATGGTACTCACTCTCCTGTGATGGTCTTCTTGCGGGAGCGGCAGAAGCAGGCGAGGGCAGACAGTAGGAGGAGGAGAGGGATCCCGATGCCCAAAACCAGGCCCAGGATCAGGGGCTTCTTATCCTCCGCCATCTTGGCCACGGCTATCCCCGTCCTGTTCAAACCACCCATGCCTAAATAGAGGGCCAACAGTGGAATGTTAGGTTTAATAGGCCATTAACACATTATTATGTCATACTTAGGGCCCCCAAAAAAATATTGGTCAGTTCCCATGTTAACAAAATTGAGTAGCTGGCCAGTGCATTTGGTTCTGGGTTCAGAGAATGCATGCTTAGTGGAAACCTTTCCATGACCATAGTATGAAATTACGACGTGAAATGACCAGAAAAAACATCGGACCCTGGGTATTTGCATAAAATGTTAAAATGGTCAATAACCCATATTTTCCCACAGCCTCACCTAAAATGCAGGATTGGGTGTCGTCGACGTCGGTGGTACCGTTGCACACACACCTGTACCCTCCGTAGGTGTTGGCACAAAGGGCAGGTGGCCTACACACAGCCTCATTTGATTTACACTCATCCAAGTCTGTGAGAGAGAGATGATAAGAGAGTGGGTTTGGAACGGTGTTACCAACCAACAATTTGTAATACAAAACCCATCTCAATTCTTGCTGGCAAACACCGACTTTGGACTGCATCTCTGACAACTGCATTAATCGTAATCACCATTGTTGCCATTACAATGTGCAATATGTGGTTAATGTTATGTTTCCCCTGAGAGCATTGTTTTACATTAGACAGTTTGATGAGCGTCTGCACTGCCACCTGTCAATGCCCTGAGGGATAATCACATTTTCTACTACTATTACAATCAATTCTCAGTCTGATAACTCGTGACTATACAGTTTAGTTCAACAGAGAAATGCATTCACCCCATGATTGTTTTACCTCCGACTTCAGCGGTTTTGATGCTGTAGTAAGCACTGACGCGGGTCAGGTAGTCTCTGATGTACCAGTGGGGTGTGTCACTGGACACGTTGATCCTGTACTCATCCAGACCTGAGCCCTGCATCTGCCCTTTCATCACAGCGTTGTAGAACTTGTTCTGGAAGCCCATTGACAGAATCTCCTCCAGCTGTAGGATGGAGCAGTTTGTCATCATTTTTATATAAACATATCATCACATCATTACATCACACCAGCAGCAAACCTCACTCAGCCATCATAAATTTACACACGCAATCCTAGGATCCAGAGTTTTTCCTTTCCATTTCTGGACTGGTATCCCTGGTCAGGTCATGTGGTCTGGAAAAACTCATGGCCCTGTAGCTCTTTTTGTGTTCCACACACACAAATGTACCAATTCTTCATTTGGAGCCCACGCACACCCTCTCACCTGTCTCAGTCCCTCTCCTCCAGACCCCTGGTTCTTCCAGCCCAAGGACACGTTGAAGACATTGAACCCTGTCAACAACAACAAGGCCATCAGATGACCTCACACTCTACAATGAGGTCATGATCACCATGGTGACACAGTAGCCATGTCTTGCTGTGGAGTATTGGGGGATTTTTAAAATAAAAATAGAAGACTTACCTGGTGGATTGGCAGAGTCCCCTGCAAAGGAACAAATGAAACGGTATCATCATTATACAAAGATAATCTGGTTAACACTTTCCTTAATAAAGCCTTTACATGTCTGACATACTGTAAATATCCATAATGCCCTACACAATATACTGTTTCATGCAGTACTATACTGAAGAGTTGTAACAGGGCCATTCTGTTTACGTACCACAGCCATTGGTTTCCTCAGTGCTCTGGTAGCGACAGGAGCATCGGACAGACCCTGGCGTGTTCACACACTCAAATTTGGCGTTACGACAGGCCGAGGGGTCCAGGCACTCATTTATGTCTGAATCAGAAGGAATATTACCATTATGTACTGTCATCTCTTCAGAAAACAACTGCAATATGGCTCAAAGATACACTTTGTATGTGGACACCTCATCAAATTTGTGGATTCGGCTATTTCAGCCCCACCCGTTGCTGACAGGTGTATAAAATCGAGCACACAGCCATGCAATCTCCATAGACAAACACTGGCAGTAGAATGGCCCGTACTGAAGAGCTCAGTGACTTTCAACGTGGCACCATCATAGGATGCCTCCTTTCCAACAAGTCGGTTCGTCAAATGTCTGCCCTGCTAGAGCTGCCCTGGTCAACAGTAAGTGCTGTTATTGTGAAGTGGAAACGTCTAGGAGCAACAACGGCTCAGCCGCGAAGTGGTAGGTCACACATGCTCACAGAACGGGACAGCCGAGTGCTGAAGCGCGCAGAGCGTAAAAATAATCTGTCCACACAACGTCAGCACAATAACTGTTTGTCTGGAGCTTCATGAAATGGGTTTCCATGGCCGAGCAGCCACACACAAGCCTAAAATCACCATGCGCAATGCCAAGCGTCGGCTGGAATGGTGTAAAGCTCACCGCCATTGGACTCTGGAGCAGTGGAAACGCGTTCTCTGGAGTGATGAATCACGCTTCACCATCTGGCAGTCCGACGGATGAATCTGGGTTTGACGGATGCCAGGAGAACGCTACCTGCCCGAATGCATTGTGCCAACTGTAAAGTTTGGTGGAGGAGGAATAATGGTCTGGGGCTGTTTTTGATGGTTCGGGCTAGGCCCCTTAGTTCCAGTGAAGGGAAATCTTAACGCTACAGCATACAATGACATTCTAGACAATTCTGTGCTTCCAACTTTGTGGCAACAGTTTGGGGAAGGCCCTTTTCTGTTTCAGCATGACAATGCCCCTGTGCACAAAGCGAGGTCCATACAGAAATGGTTAGTCGAGATCGGTGTGGAAAAACTTGACTGGCCTGCACAGAGCCCTGACCTGAACCCCATCGAACACCTTTGGGGTGAATTGGAACACTGACTGCGGGCCTAATCGCCCAACATCAGTGCCTGACCTCACTAATGCTCTTGTGGCTGAATGGAAGCAAGTCCCTGCAGCAATGTTCCAACATCTACAGTCGTGGTATTGGTCTTCACAAAGTTCGCTGCTTCAGTGTTATGAGATATTTTTGTCAGATGTTACTATGGTATACTGAAGTATAATTACAAGCATTCCATAGTGTCAAAGGCTTTTATTGACAATTACATTAAGTTTATGCAAAGAGTCAATATTTGCAGTGTTGACCCTTCTTTTTCAAGACCTCTGCAATCCGCCCTGGCATGCTGTCAATTAACTTCTGGGCCACATCCTGACTGATGGCAGCTCATTCTTGCATAATCAATGCTTGGAGTTTATCAGAATTTGTGGGTTTTTGTTTGTCCACCCGCCTCTTGAGGATCGACCACAAGTTCTCAATGGGATTAAGGTCTGTGGAGTTTCCTGGCCATGGACCCAAAATGTCGATGTTTTGTTCCCCGATCCATTTAGGTTATCACTTTTGCCTTATGGCAAGGTGCTCCATCATGCTGGAAAAGGCATTGGTAGTCACCAAACTGTTCTTGGATGGTTGGGAGAAGTTGCTCTCGGAGAATGTGTTGGTACCATTCTTTATTCATGGCTGTGTTCTTAGGCAAAAATGTGAGTGAGCCCACTCCCTTGGCTGAGAAGCAACCCCACACATGAATGGTCTCAGGATGCTTTACTGTTGGCATGACACAGGACTGATGGTAACGCTCACCTTGTCTTCTCCGGACAAGGTGTTTTCTGGATGCCCCAAACAATCGGAAAGGGGATTCATCAGAGAAAATGACTTTATCCTCAGCAGTCCAATCCCTGTTCCTTTTGCAGAATATCAGTCTGTCCATTATGTTTTTCCTGGAGAGAAGTGGCTTCTTTGCTGCCCTTCTTGACACCAGGCCATCCTCCAAAAGTCTTCGCCTCACTGTGCGTGCAGATGCACTCACACCTGCCTGCTGCCACTCCTGAGCAAGCTCTACACTGGTGGTGCCCCGATCCTGCAGCTGAATCAACTTTAGGAGACGGTCCTGACGCCTTCTTCACAACAATTGAACCTCTCTCCTTGAAGTTCTTGATGATCCGATAAATGGTTGATTTAGGTGCAATCTTACTAGCAGCAATATCCTTGCCTGTGAAGCCCTTTTTGTGCAAAGCAATGATGACGGCACGTGTTTCCTTGCAGGTAACCATGGTTAACAGAGGAAGAACAATGATTTCAAGCACCACCCTCCTTTTAAAGCATCCAGTCTGTTATTCTAACTCAATCAGCATAGAGTGATCTCCAGCCTTGTCCTCGTCAACACTCTCACCTGTGTTAACGAGAGAATCACTGACATGATGGCAGCTGGTCCTTTTGTGGCAGGGCTGAAATGCAGTGGAAATGTTTTTTGGGGATTAAGTTCATTTTCATGGCAAAGAGGGACTTTGCAATTCATCTGATCACTCTTCATGACATTCTGGAGTATATGCAAATTGCCATCATCAAAACTGAGGCAGCAGACTTTGTGAAAATTAGTATTTGTGTCGTTCAAAACTTTTGACCACGACTGTACAGTTGATGTCGGAAGTTTACATACACCTTAGCCAAATACATTTAAACTCAGTTTTTCACAATTCCTGAAATTAAATCCTATTAAAAAGTCCCTGTCTTAGGTCAGTTAGGATCACTACTTTATTTTAAGAATGTGAAATGTCAGAATAATAGTAGAGAGAATGATTTATTTCAGCTTTTATTTCTTTCATCACATTCCCAGTGGGTCAGAAGTTTACATACACTCAATTAGTATTTGGTAGCATTGCCTTTAAATTGTTTAACTTGGGTCAAACGTTTTGTGTAGCCTTCCACAAGCTTCCCACAATAAGTTGGGTGAATTTTGGCCCATTCCTCCTGACAGAGCTGGTGTAACTGAGTCAGGTTTGTAGGCCTCCTTGCTCGCACATGCTTTTTCAGTTCTGCCCACAAATTTTCTATAGGGTTGAGGTCAGTGCTTTGTGATGGCCACCCCAATACCTTGACTTTGTTGTCCTTAAGCCATTTTGCCACAACTTTGGAAGTATGCTTGTGGTCATTGTCCATTTGGAAGACCCATTTGCGACCAAGCTTTAACTTCCTAACTGATGTCTTGAGATGTTGCTTCAATATATCCACATAATTTTCCTTCCTCATGATGCCATCTATTTTGTGAAGTGCAGCAGTCCCTCCTGCAGCAAAGCACCCCCACAGCATGATGCTGCCACCCCGGTGCTTCACGGTTGGGATGGTGTTTTCGGCATGCAAGCTCTCCCCGTTTTCCTCCAAACATAACGATGGTCATTATGGCCAAACAGTTTTATTTTTGTTTCATCAGACCAGAGAAAATTTCTCCAAAAAGTACTATCTTTGTCCCCATGTACAGTTGCAAACCGTAGTCTGGCTTTATTATGGCGGTTTTGGAGCAGTGGCTTCTTCCTTGCTGAGCAGCCTTTCAGGTTATGTCGATATAGGACTCGTTTTACTGTGGATATAGATACTTTTGTACGTGTTTCCTCCAGCATCTTCACAAGGTCCTTTGCTGTTGTTCTGGGATTGATTTGCACTTTTCGCACCAAAGTACGTTCATCTCTAGGAGACAGAACGCGTCTCCTTCCTGAGCGGTATGATGGCTGCGTGGTCCCATAGTGTTTATACTTGCGTACTATTGTTTGTACAGATGAACGTGGTACCTTCAGGCGTTTTGAAATTTCTCCCAAGGATGAACCAGACTTGTGGATGTCTAAAAAATTTTTTTTAATCTGAGGTCTTGGCTGATTTCTTTTGATTTTCCCATGATGTCAAGCAAAGAGGCACTGAGTTTGAAGGTAGGCCTTGAAATACATCCACAGGTACACCTCCAATTGACTCAAATGATGTCAATTAGCCTATCAGAAGCTTCTAAAGCCATGACATCATTTTCTGGAATTTTCCAAGCTGTTTAAAGGCACAGTCAACTTAGTGAATGTAAACTTCTGACCCACTGGAATTGTGATACAGTGAATTATAAGTGAAATAATCAACAATTGTTGGAAAAATTACTTGTGTCATGCACAAAGTAGACGTCCTAACTGACTTGCCAAAACGATACTTTGTTAACAAGAAATTTGTGGAGTGGTTGAAAGACGTGCAATGTTTTAATGACTCCAACCTAAGTGTATGTAAACTTCAGACTTCAACTGTATGTATACTTCAGTGACCTTAACCCAACACCTACTACGTCGTCGAGAGGTTTGGATCTCTTGGCGTAAAAGTTATGGTGTTGGCTTGACAGTCGCAAAGTCCCGGGTTCAAGCATCGGTTAGGACTACCCCCTGACTTTGCTACAACACAGTATGTTTATGTCAGAGGTCAAGGGTCAGTACCTGTGCAGTTGCGTCCGTCCCCAGTAAAGCCAGGCTTGCACCTGCAGGTGTAGTTGTACCCTGAGCTGAGGCAGTTGGCCATCGTGTGACAGGGAAAGGGGAAGGGAGGGAGGCAGAAGTCTGAGAGGAAAAGAATGAGAAACATGAATGAGGACAGCTCAATGGTAATGAATAGGGCCAGGAGTTTCTGGATGAGGAAAAACTCCTGACTAGTAGTAATGAATAATTTCCTGAATGCAGGTAAAGAAGTTGCTAGCTGAGTAGTGCTCATTAGGGCACGCAACGGAAAATGAGCAGGTAGTCCCTCCCTGTTTTCTCTCCCGTTTAGTGCCTAATGAACACAACCCTTGTTATCCAAAGTATACTAGCCATTTTCAAAGCACTTGTATCCCTGCTTGTCCCTGTAGATGGTGGGTGAGGGGCACTCTCCACAGGTGAACTGGTCTGGCTCTCCCTGGGATTGAGACTGGGACTGGCACTGTACTCCTGGGAAGCAAGGGTTCCCTTTACACACGTCGGTGGTATTCCCACAGAATTTCCCACTGAACCCCTTAGGGCACAGACACCCTACCACCTGGGAGGACAAGGCACAAAAGGTGTGTGAGTTGATCGGCATGAGAATATCATCTCACACTCAAAACACAAGACTAGTTTATATTGCGCTCTGGGAGAAAACACACAAGTCCATATAGAAATACTCCCCTTACTGTTTTGTCTGTCAGTCAGTCTGTCTGTATGTTTGTTTACCTGAAATTTCCCCTGCAGATGGTTGTCCACTATGCTGTCATATTGGCAGGTGCCACCATTGAGGCAGTTGCACATCTGCAGGATGGGAGTGAACTGAGAGCTGAAAAGCTGGTCATCAACTCTGATGGTCAGGTAGACAGGCTGGATGTTGAGTGGTGTCCAGGTCAATATGCCATCACCTATAGGGAGAGACACATTAATGAATTATAGGTAACTTCGCCAAGAGGGGTGGTTGCATGTGTGCGTGTGTGTACATGTGTGCATGCGTGTGGGTGTGTGGGTGTTTGTAGCTCACTTTTTCCAACAGATGCTTGTGGTGGTCTGGGGAAGAGCAGTGAGAAGCTTATAGGGTCTAGGTTGGCGTCTTGAGCGCTGATCTGCACGCGAACAGTGGATTTGACCTTACAGCGGATCACTGTGGGCTCAGTCACGATGGGAGGCATGTTCCCTACATAGGAGAGAAATTGAAGCATGTCAATGACTTATGCCCTCAAACTCAACTCTGGACCTCGAAGCCAGTTCCACTGCTTTTTTTCATTGTTCCCCTTTAATAATGGACTGATTTAGACCTGGGACACCAGGTGGGTGCAATTAAGTATCAGGTAGAACAGAAAACCAGCAGGCTCCGGACCTCATAGGGTAAGAGTTGAATACCCCAGACCTATAGAGAAGCATGTCAATTGACCTCAATCACCACTACACTGCATTCAATGAATTCTTACGGAGCGGATGGCAGAATGCGGTGGAGTAGGATGAAGTTGCACATACAGGCCAGTGGTGGAAAAAGTACCCAACTGTCATACTTGAGTAAAAGTAAAGATACCTTAATAGAAAATGACTCAAGTAAAAGTGAAAGTCATCCAGTAAAATACTACTTGAGTAAAAGTAAAAAAAGTATTTGGTTTTAAATATACTTAAGTATCAAAACTAAAAATAATTTCAAATTTCCTTATATTAAGCAAACCAGACGGCACCATTTTCTAGTTACATTTTTTTTAAAACGGATAGCCAGGGGTACACTCCAACACTCAGACATAATTGACAAACGAAGCATTTGTGTTTAGTGAGTCCACCAGATCAGAGGCAGTTGGGATGACCAGGGATGTTTTCTTGATAAGTACGTGAATTGGACCATTTTCCTGTCCTGCTAAGCATTCAAAATATAACGAGTACTTTTGGGTGTCAGGGAAAATGTATGGAGTAAAAAGTACATTATTTTCTTTAGGAATGTAGTCTAGTAAAGGAAAGTTCATATCCATCAAAAAAACGACTTAAGTAGTACTTTAAAGTATTTTTACACCACTGAAACACGCTGATCTAAGGTTTGTGTTTACCCCCCTAAATTAGCCCAACTAGGCTAATATTTAAGATTAGACTCTGTAATTGGGGAGGGTAAGCTGATCCTAGATCTTTGTCCAGGGGGCAACTTTTACCCAGAGCACACAGTATGTGACTCAAAGAGGAAGGGCCAACAGTCTTAGACCTTTGGCTAACGTAACAGTTGACTCACCAAACACCATAGCCAGCTTGTGGTACAGCTCCTGAGACTTCAGACTCTGCAAACCCAGGTCAGTGTCGTTAGAAGCCAGGATGTCATGAACACACTGCAAACTGCCCTGACATGTCCTCCTCAGCCTGTCTTGTACAGCTGGACTCACTGACATCAGCTCCTCTGTAGAGGCTGGAGTAAACCGATCAGAGGGCGGGTTGGAGAAGAGCAGGGTCTCTGGAACAGGCACAGCCCCTATGGAACACATGACAACATCAGTCAGAACCCTCAAGATATCTCACCATATTTGACATTAGATTAGACACGAGGGGCTCTGTGTGAATTGGTACCCACTTATCAGACCAAGGCTGAAAGTGTCACACCCTGATCTTTCACCTGTCTTGTGCTTGTCTCCACCCCCCAACCAGGTGTCTCCCATTTGTTCCCAGTATTCCCTGTGTATTTATACCAGTGTCTTCTGTCTGCCTGTTGCCAGTTTGTCTTGTTATGTCAAGCCTACCAGTGTGTTTTTCCGTACTCCTGTTTTGCCTAGTCTCTGTTTTCAAGCCCTCCCGGTTCCGACCTTTTCTGCCTGCCCTGACACTAAGCCCGCCTGCCTGACCATTCAGCCCGCCCTGACCTCGAGCCTGCCTGACCATTCAGCCCGCCCTGACCTCGAGCCTGCCTGACCATTCAGCCTGCCCTGACACTAAGCCCGCCTGCCTGACCATTCAGCCTGCCCTGACCTCGAGCCTGCCTGACCATTCAGCCCGCCCTGACCTCGAGCCTACCTGACCATTCAGCCCGCCCTGACCTCAAGCCTGCTTGCCGCCCTGTACCTTTCGGACTCTGACCTGGTTAATGAACTTCTGCCTGTCCTCGAGCTGCCTCTTGTATTTTAATAAATATCAGCGACTCGAACCATCTGCCTCCTGTGTCGTTATAGAAAGGGTGAAAGACCGCTCCTTTAAACACCTAGCAACGTCTGTGAATGGCTACTAATACATGAGTGGAGTTAGAGGTACTTAATCTGCATGATACACTATATGTGAATTAGGGGAGAGAGACTACACTAGCATGCTACCTAGAATGAAGCAATGTATTGTACATGCATTTTAAGTGGTATGTTCGTATTGACATTCAATGTGCCTCCAACTCCTTAATGTGACTTATTGACTTAAGCCTCACTCACAGGAAAGGCCAAAGTGGCGCAGGCTCTCCTCCGGGGGAGGGTTGTTCTTGGGGGAGATCATCAGCTTCCCGTCAGACTGCAGGAAGTCATCAGTGCGGTTGGAGCTCCAGAAGCCCAGCAGGCCCACGGTGCGGTTGTAGAAGGTCTGGGGGACCTCCACCAGGACAGCCAACTGCTGTCCACCACCACCTCCATCCACCCTCCACACCACCACGTGGAGCCCCCCGGCGTACACTGCCGCACAGCTACTGACCGAGGTGCAGCGCACCGCAAAACCCTCCTTGCCCATGTGCACCACACCTGCAAGGACAGCAGAGGGCACTGTTATATCATCTCAAGGGGATATGAGGATTGCATTCTATTGCTACTGTAATTTGCTGGGTCCCAGCCCGTTCGGGTGTGGAAGGGAATGAAATTGTAGACCAGATAGCCATATAATTCATATTCATCTTCCACTGGGTAGAGGTGAGGACAAATGTAAGATCAGAGCCATTTTTATAGATGTGTGGCAGAAGAGATGGAACTCTGAGCCCAAGGGCCGGCATTTATATGCCCTCCAAAAAAAGGTTGATGGACCAAGATTCAAAGGTCAGATTAGGAAGGAAGAGGTGGTGTTTGTTCGATTATGCCTAGGACATTGTACATTGAACTCCTCATTACATCTGTTTGGCAAGCATGTGAGGAAAGGGCGGAGCATGTGTTATATTGTTGTAAGTACAGTGAGGGAAAAAAGTATTTGATCCCCTGCTGATTTTGTACGTTTGCCCACTGACAAAGACATGATCAGTCTATAATTTTAATGGTAGGTTTATTTGAACAGTGAGAGACAGAATAACAAAAAAATCTAGAAAAAAGCATGTCAAAAATGTTATAAATTGATTTGCATTTTAATGAGGACAATAAGTATTTGACCCCTCTGCAAAACATGACTTAGTACTTGGTGGCAAAACCCTTGTTGGCAATCACAGAAGTCAAACGTTTCTTGTAGTTGGCCACCAGGTTTGCACAAATCTCAGGAGGGATTTTGTCCCACTCCTCTTTGCAGATCTTCTCCAAGTCATTAAGGTTTCGAGCCTGACGTTTGGCAACTCGAACCTTCAGCTCCCTCCACAGATTTTATATGGGATTAAGGTCTGGAGACTGGCTAGGCCACTCCAGGACCTTAATGTGCTTCTTCTTGAGCCACTCCTTTGTTGCCTTGGCCGTGTGTTTTGGGTCATTGTCATGCTGGAATACCCATCCACGACCCATTTTCAATGCCCTGGCTGAGGGAAGGAGGTTCTCACCCAAGATTTGATGGTACATGGCGCCGTCCATCGTCCCTTTGATGCGGTGAAGTTGTCCTGTCCCCTTAGCAGAAAAACACCCCCAAAGCATAATGTTTCCACCTCCATGTTTGACGGTGGGGATGGTGTTCTTGGGGTCATTGGCAGCATTCCTCCTCCTCCAAACACGGCGAGTTGAGTTGATGCCAAAGAGCTCGATTTTGGTCTCATCTGACCACAACACTTTCACCCAGTTCTCCTCTGAATCATTCAGATGTTCATTGGCAAACTTCAGACGGGCCTGTATATGTGCTTTCTTGAGCAGGGGGACCTTGCGGGCGCTGCAGGATTTCAGTCCTTCACGGCGTAGTGTGTTACCAATTGTTTTCTTGGTGACTATGGTCCCAGCTGCCTTGAGATCATTGACAAGATCCTCCCATGTAGTTCTGGGCTGATTCCTCACCGTTCTCATGATCATTGCAACTCCACGAGGTGAGATCTTGCATGGAGCCCCAGGCCGAGGGAGAATGACAGTTATTTTGTGTTTCTTCCATTTGCGAATAATTGCACCAACTGTTGTCACCTTCTCACCAAGCTGCTTGGCGATGGTCTTGTAGCCCATTCCAGCCTTGTGTAGGTCTACAATCTTGTCCCTGACATCCTTGGAGAGCTCGTTGGTCTTGGCCATGGTGGAGAGTGGAATCTGATTGATTGCTTCTGTGGACAGGTGTCTTTTATACAGGTAACAAGCTGAGATTAGGAGCACTCCCTTTAAGAGTGTGCTCCTAATCTCAGCTCGTTACCTGTATAAAAGACACCTGGGAGCCAGAAATCTTTCTGATTGAGAGGGGGTCAAATACTTATTTCCCTCATTAAAATGCAAATCAATTTATAACATTTTTGACATGCGTTTTTCTGGATTTTTATGTTGTTATTCTGTCTCTCACTGTTCAAATAAACCTACCATTAAAATTATAGACTGATCATTTCTTTGTCAGTGGGAAAACGTACAAAATCAGCAGGGGATCAAATACTTTTTTCCCTCACTGTACGTTGAAGAGAGGGACAGATTTGAAGTGTAGGGTCGTTGAGGTTGGACGGGGTTGGCGGGGGTTTGGAATGGATTTTGGGGATGGGGGAGGGTATTTTAGAAGTTAGTAGGGATCTTTTTTATTTTCTCAGAAGTACAGAGTTAGGTAGGAGGATTTAGAAATGTGGAGCTAATGTTGTAAACTGTGATTGACCACACACTCCGGCACAGTAGGTGGCAGCATGCACCTTTAACGTTTGTTTGCGGACCGCCATTATATCATAGAAGAAGAAGACGCTACTGTAATATTGTATGTAACAAGGTTTGGAGAATGATGTTCCAGGTAGTTTGTAAAATTGTATAGAGATTTACTATATTCCTAAATTGCATTGTCTAGTCTGGTGGAATAATAGTAAAAGGTTGAATAGTAATCTTCCTGTTTCTGTGCCATGTTTGTTATGGTAGGCCAAGTGTAGGCCTGTGTACTATTTTGATTTCTTACCGACAAAGACTGGGACCTCCACATTATCCACCAGGACCTCCAGTCCCTCTCCTGACTCTGCACACCGCCACTCAACCTGAACACACACACATTCACACAGAGGTAAGGATAATCAACCACATGAGATCTACAGCCCATAATACAACCCATAAGACACACACACACACACACCGCACTGACCTTGCCGATGCCCTGGTGAAAGGCAGCCATCCTCACCACCGTGGGGACCCGTCTGGCCTGTCCGTCTGTCTCCAGCTCGCACGTCTCACCCTGCAGCGTGAAGATATTGGAGCCCGTGTAGGAGGAGAGGCGCACAATGACAAACTCGCCGAGGGCCTTGAAGGAGTACTCAGTCCCATCGAAGGTGATGAAATGAAGGCTGCCGTACACCATGCCTGTAGACAAAACAGGTATATACTGTATGAGAAGGAAACAATTCACTAACCAAGACTTTATACAGTACATTTACACTCATTTACACTGAGGGGTACAAGCACACAGGCATACAGTGAAGGATCTGTCTACTATCACATAATGGGACCAAACATGTGGGCTATATATCATTGACAAACAGTGACAAAATGATGTATGATTAAGCAATAATGCCTGAGGAGGTGTGGTATATGTCCAATATACCACGGCTATCGGCTGTTCTTACGCACAATGCAACGCGGAATGCCTGGATACAGCCCTTAGTCGTGGTATATCGGCCATATATCACAAACTCTGTGGTGCCTTATTGCTATTATAAACTGGTTACCAACGTAATTAGAGCATTAAAAATACATGTTTTGTCATACCCGTGGTATACGATATACCACGGCTGTCAGCCAATCAGCATTCAGCGCTCGAACCACCCAGTTTATAATAGAGTATATTCTGTGAGTATATAATAATTAATTCAATGAGTTGACAGGAGTTGAAAGTAAATGACCCCCATTCCTCTGAGTAGAGGTAAGCTCTCACCAATGCCCTGTGTTGCCTTGACCGCTGTTATGCAGCAGTTGGGGCTCACCCAGCCGTAACCTTGGCAACGGTCCAGGGGTCTCTTGGCCAGATAGAGGTGGCATAGAGAGGACTGGATACAACACCACTGGAACGGAAGGAGATCCTCATCTAGAGATGGAAGGAGAGAAATAAGATGACAACAGGCAATAAGGATGAGTTTGCTAGTTTAAAAGACAAGCAATTGGTGATTACATCAATGAATGGCATTATTGATGTAACAGCATTCCGAATGGCAGGTTGAGCTTTCACTATTTGACGCAAATGAGACGTTACCTATGTGTTTCTGTGCAGTGGCTCCAGAGAAGTAGCGCTCGCTGTATCCAGCCAACAGGGGACCTTGTTGGTCATACACACATCTCTTCCCTGAGCCGTGCCGATTGGACAGGATGGACTGGAATACATAACCCCCACTGCCCCCCCAGCGCAGCCCCCGTAGCTCCCTCACCCGTACCCGATCCTGCTGGTTGGGGGGGAGAGTCTCAGACCCGAAGGCCAGGTCCTCCAGTGCTTGGGCGTGGGTACAGGGGCACGACGGCACCCCCTTGGCCCACTCCGTTGGCTCAGGCTCCTTTATGGCCCACACCTGGCACCTCATCTTGGGGTCCTGTTCGCGCTCTGTGGGCCCTGTCAGGTCATACACCAGCTGACCAAGCTGACCTGTGTTCCCCCTCACCTCCTGAGGCCTATACCGCCCCCCTGGGCCAAACAGATTTGTTGAATTTGTGGTCTCGTTGAAAAAGTGGGCTCCACCATCGGTGTAGCCTGTGAGGGCGTCATGGTGGATCCTCTGGCCAGGACTCCAGTGCATCTCCCCGAAGCGTAGCAAGGCAAAGGAGCGCTCCCCGTCCGTAGTCAGGATGCACTGGAAGGTGTTAGTCTGGAACCGACCACAAGGTGGCACCACAAGAACAAAAAGATGGGGAGAGAAATTATATGTGAGGACTGATTCATCAGGTAGGTTACACTCTCCCAGCTAACACTTGAGTAACAATGGATGCTAAACTAGGACAGACATCCGAGCAAACAATACCACACCCTGTACCATCCAATAACCCACTTTCCTGCTAGACGTGCAATTATGTTTAGCGCCAATAGACACCTACAGTATACGCCTCTATCGGAGGTTGACATGATTGGGACATTGAACATTGAACCAATACCTCAGAGAGGTTGATTTTCTGATAGGAGACAGCCATCACATGATCCCAGGTGATCTTTAGAATCCAGGCTGGGGTGAACGCAGGTTTGCCGTTCTGTTCCTCAAACCGTGTCACATCCTCCGCTGTACGGTTGAAGACAATTTGGGAATATCTATCTGACAAATTCAGCTTGTGGTATTCCTAGGAGAGAGAAACTAATTCAGATGAGATGAGATTCGTCCAATGACTGTCATCCCCACTTTAACTCCACTCTGACCCAAACTCACCCCTCACCTTTCACAACTAACCCTTGACCTCTCACCTGATAGAACAGCTTCCCCTCCCCGAGGGTGAGATCAACATCGTCCCAGAACACGGCCAGCATTGCCAGGCTCTCGTTGCCACGGAAACCCTTAGGGAAAGGGACAGGAAGCAGGAACTGCTCGTTCTGACTGATCGACTGGAACTGGATGAGTCCATTATCTGAGAACTAAGCCAGAGATGTTTTATTTATTTTTTTATAAAAAAAATATATGAATTGCCAAACCTACAGTATGTCGCATGAAACATGCATTCTAGTCAAAACTATTCTGATTTGTCCTTTACTATAACATTTGGAAAGACAATTTGATCAAGCAGATTGTCAGTGTAATGGTACACATCTTTGATAGTGTTGTCATATTATACATTTGAATATTGTGGTAGAATATGATGATAAAGGCCTTAAGTCTTTCCAAGTCTGGCTTTATACTGTACTGTAGAACCAATCTGTTGGCTTCTTTGAATATGTCACGACTTCTGCCGAGGCTGCCTCCCCTCCTTGTTCGGGCAAGTTTCCTAGCTACTGCCGATCCCATTCTCATCACTCCACTTGTCATGTCTTGTCAATCACACACACCTGGTGCTCATTCCCCTAATTAGTATGTGTATAAGTGTTCCCTCTGTTCCCCTTGTCTTTGTGAGTGTTTATTGTGAGAAGCTCGGTTGAGCTACTCTTCCATTTGTTAATGCCAAGGTGGAATTTCCCTTGTGTTAGTTTAGTTTTGACGCTTGGTGCGGCTCATAGCCTGTGGCAAAAATGAGGGGACATGAATAACAGGTATAGGCCAATTAAAAGGTGCTTTACTGTAAACCAAAGAAAAAGGAATGAGGTGTGGAAATGTCATAATGTAGGTAAGGTGCATGGATGCATGAATCTGTGTGTGTCTGAACATGACTGAGTGGAAACTAAGTAAACCTACAAAGGAGTGGTGAAGCAGTTTTAAATACCCTGAGCCCAGGCGACTCCAATCACACCAACTCCAATCACTAACGACCCTCCTCTGCCTGCAGGAGGAACCGCCTCTGCACTGCAGAGGGGCCGTGAAACCCCCCTCCTTAAAATGAGGGTCCTACCCTCAACCCAAATTACGACCCAACATATTTAAAACAATCCAAAATTCCTCCCAAAAACCAAAAAGATACTGATACCAGTCCCGGCTTCTAACAGTAGCCCCGTGTCCCCTAGCTGACTGTCCGTCCTCAAACTCAGCAGCCCTGGTACCTGGGGAGCAATTTAAGAGAAGAGGCGCAGACAGCCCGCAGGGGTCAGCAGAGAGAAAATACAAACTAGGCTAAAGGAGCACGGGACAGAGCATCAGCAATGATATTATCCTTACCACTAATATGTCTAATAATCGAGGTTGAATGGTTGCAAGAACAAAGCCCAACGCATCAGGCGCTGGTTCGGATTTGCAGGGACTTCAGAAAAATAAGTGGGTTGTGGTCAGTAAACACAGTTACAGGGGTTAAACCAGAACCAACATAAACCTCAAAGTGCTGTAAAGCCCAAATGTAGACCTAAAGCCTCCTTTTCAATTACAGAATAGTTTTGCTGATACTTATTAAATTTCCGGGAAAAGAAACTGACTGGACACTCAACATTGTCATCATTTTCCTGGAGAAGCACAGCCCCAGCACCAATTTGTCTGGCATCTACCTGCAATTTGAAAGGTTTCCCAAAATGTGGTGCTACTAACACAGGTGCCAAACACAAAAGAGCCTTAACTGCATCAAATGCCTCTTGACACTGAGTGGACCAGATAAATTCAGCCTTGGCCTTCAACAGATTGGTCAGGGGGGCCCCCACTTGTCACAGGCCGGCTCATAGCCTGTGGCAAAAATGAGGGGACATGAACAACAGGTATAGGCCAATCAAAAGGTTCTTTACTGTAAACCAAAAACGATTAACTTTAAACAAAGAAAAAGGAATGAGGTGTGGAAATGTCATAATGTAGGTAAGGTGCATGGATGCATGAATCTGTGTGTGTCTGAACATGACTGAGTGGAAACTAAGTAAACCTACAAAGGAACAAACAAAACAGGATCATACATGGAGGAGCAGAGAGAGAGAGTGGTTAGTGAAGCAGTTTTAAATACCCTGAGCCCAGGTGGCTCCAATCACACCAACTCCAATCACTAACGACCCTCCTCTGCCTGCAGGAGGAGCCGCCCCTGCACTGCAGAGGAGGGGCCGTGACATTATGTAAACGGCATAAACTCTGGACTTCGGTGTTTTACCTCCTGCGCCTGACTCCTTCATTCACAGGAGGTAAAACGCCGAAGTCCAGAGTTTGTTCCGTTTACATAAATAAAACGCACCAAGCGTCAAAACGAAAGTTGAGTGATGAGAATGGGATCGGCAGTAGCTAGTAAACCGGTGACGACGAACGCCGAAACCTGCCCGAACAAGGAGGGGAGGCAGCCTCGGCGGAAGTCGTGACAGAATATTGCTTTTCCTTAGTTCTGTCAAAGGTGGTCATTTTATTTTGGTGAATATATACGTTGTAGTTTTGCACATATATCCATGTTTTGTTTGTTGTTGTTGTTGTTTGGGGGGGGAGGGGTAGATCAGTTTTAATATTGCAGATAGTGCTTTACCAAATGTCCACAGCAAAGGCCATTTCAGAGAAAAGATACAGTGATGTACATCCTCTTGCATCTAATAAAAAACGGTTGAATTGTACTAAAAATAGTACTAATCATTTATCTTGCTGTCTTCAGTTCAGGGTTGCCAGTCTCAGAGTTGTGAGTAAAGATGTGGATACTTACATAGACACGATCAAACAGCTTGCCTATGAAGGGGAAACCCATTGGTGGTGTGATGTAGGGAGAGTTCCCATCCTCTGTGTCCAACCACACTCCTCTATCTCCCACCTCGTCACCAAACGGGTATAAATCACTCTCTGTGAATTACATCATTGTAATTATGACATTTTGATACACTTTTCACACATAGAAAATATGCAGCAAAATGCCAATTACTATATATGCTGCAAGAATATTCGAAAAAGTAAACAAGTTTTCGTTACACTATTTAGCACTTCAACTACTTCAAGTGCACTGCTAGCACTTTGATTTATCTTGACTACACTAGACACATTTGGTATGTGTTCAGCATACATGCAGAGACACTAATTCCCTAACCACATACAGAACACAGAACAAAGTTAGTTTGCAGTGTAGCTTTATGAAGGAGTAGCCCACCCTTGGCCAGCTCAGTACAGACAGTGTTGTTAGAGGCACAGGAGCAGTTGAAGGACCCTGGGTAGTTTCTACAGGATGTGTGGGCGGGGCATGCCGAGGGCGACACACACTCATCCTGGTCAACACACCCTCTCCCCCCATGCCCCCCTCTCTCCCCCCTGGTATCCCAGCCACTGCCACAGTGGCAGTGGAACCCCCCCACAGAGTTAGAACAGGTGGCAGCAGAGTGGCATCCTCCTTTGTTCTGTTGGCACTCATCCAGGTCCACACACAGGGCCCCGATGCCCAGGAGGCCTGGGTGACACACACACAGGAATGACCCAGGCGTGTTGTAGCAGAGGGCGCGTTTGTGACAGGGCGCCGTCAGGACGGAGCATTCATCCACGTCCTCGCACCAGGTGCCGTTGCCCGCGTGGCCCTGGGAGCAGTGGCAGGTGTAGGAGCCTGGAGTGTTCCAACAGCGCGCCAAGGGGTGACACACCTCTGCACCATTACTATTTCCACATTCATCCACATCTACACACGCTCCCACATCCTCATGGTACCCCCCAGGACAGTCACAGTGGTACGTCCCAGGCAAGTTGGTGCACACCTGGTCAACGTGACATGTGGTATTAAAGAGGCACTCGTCAATATCCTCGCACACTGTGTCATTGCCTTGTGCCCCTGGCTCATACCCGTCCACACAGGGACACAGGAGGGAGCCAATTGTGTTTTTGCACACGGAGTGATCCAGGCAGGGGGCGCCCTCTGGGTCGCTACATTCGTCTACATCCTGGCAATCTGTGCCGTTCAGGAGGAAGCCACTATTACAGGGACACTGGTAGGAGCCAGGGAGGTTGACACAGGTGGAGTAGGGCTGGCAGACAGAGGTGGAGGAGTTGGAATACTCCTCAGAACACTCGTCCACATCCACACACTCAGTATCGTTGCTCCAGAAGCCCTCGTAGCATAAGCAGAAGAATGAACCAATGGTGTTCATGCATGTTCCGTTGGTGCAAAGTGGCCCGAAGTCGGGGTCCAAGCAGTCCTCGATATCCTCACAACGATCATTCATACTGAGGAATCCTACGTTACAGGGGCACAGGAAGCTGCCATAGGTGTTGACGCAGGTGCTGTTCTCAAGACATGTGGAGTTGTCCAGGCATTCGTCGATATCCTGGCAGCCTGTGCCATTGCCCTGGTAGCCGTCCCAGCAGTTACAGACAAAGGAGCCGGGTGTGTTCTGGCAATCTGAGATATTCGGGCACTGCGCCAGCCCCAAGGCACACTCGTCAATATCCAGACACTGAGAGTTGTTACTAGCCAGGAAGCCCAGGTCACAGTGGCAGCGGTAGCTACCCTCCGTGTTGGTACAGGTGCTGTTGTCAGGACAGGTGTAGTTCCCCGCCTCACACTCATCCACATCCACGCAGTGTGTCCCATTGTCCTGGTAACCATCCCAACAGTCGCACGTATAGGAGCCCTCTGTGTTGAAGCAGTAGGAGAACTCCGGGCAGTACTCCTGCCCCGATTGCCTACACTCGTCCACGTCCCAGCAGGTCATCCCGTTGCCGTGGAAACCATCCTGGCAGTGGCAGTAGAAGGAGCCCTGGGTGGGGTGGCACCCTGCGTGAGGGTGGCACACACTGCTGGCGTTCAGGCAGTTCTCCTCGCTCACACACGTGCCTGCTTCATAGGCTAGGCTCAGGATGCAGGTGCAGTTGTAACCCCCAGGGGTGTTGTGGCACGTCAAGTTCCCCCCACAGGTGGAGGGTGAGAGACACTCATCCACGTCCTCACAGACGAACCCATCCCCTTGGTACCCCTCCTGGCACAGACAGAGGTAGGAACCGTTCATGTTGTTGCATTGTGCCAGGCGGCTGCAGTTGTGGGGCTGGGTGGAGTTGTCGGCACACTCGTCAACATCCTGGCACACAATGCCAGTGCCCTCGGTGCCAGACGGGCAGGTACAGTTGAGCGATCCAGCAGTGTTTGAGCAGCTGGCAATGGGGTGGCATCCTCCATTTTGGCTTTGGCACTCATCAATGTCTATAATTCATCCAAAATGGGACAGTGTCAGGAAAACAGCCCCACAAGTTACTAAAAGAAAGCTCACAAGAGAATCCACACAAAAGTAGAGCAGGTACTGTATACATGAACAGTCTTAACAGAGTTAAGTAATGTATACTGATAATAGAAATGATAAGAGAAATGTTAAGCTTACCAGAACAATTCTTCCCATCGCCAGTGAAGCCACTGAGACAGAAACAGAGGTGGCTCCCTACTGTGTTCACACACCGGGCAAACTCACTGCACTCCTTGTCTCCAGACACACACTCTTCCACGTCTGAGAAGAAAGAAAGAAAGAAAGAAAGAAAGAGAGAGAGAGAATCACCTGAACAACATCAACATTTTACAATTTTACAGTACACCCTATTCTAAAAAAGATGTAACTCCAGATTTTGAAGAAATAAGATAGGATTTTGCAATTGAGTGGTTATTGAGAAATATTGAGTGGTTCTGGTAGTTTTTCGGATTAAATCCTCTTACCAACGCAGTTTGTCCCGTTTTGTCTGTAGCCCACTTTGCAGACACAGGAAAAAGAGCCTGGGATATTCACACACTCCGTCTCATTCTGGGGGCACACATTCTCCTGACACTCATCTATATCCGAGCAGGCGAGTCCATCCCCCTCAAAGCCTATGTCACACACACACTGGAAGCCAGCGGGCGAGGGGTGGCAGAGCCCATGACGGTGGCAGGCAGGGGCACACCAGGGACTGGGGGCCACACAGGTGTCATTATAGGCCACTGTGCCGTTCATACAGGAACAGACGTAGGCTCCGGGGGAGTTGACACACTTTGAGATGGGGGGACAGGTGGCGGCGTTGGAAAGGGCACACTCATCCACATCCTGGCACCAGAAGCCGTCCCCAAAGAAACCCTGCTGGCAGGAGCAGGAGAAGTCCCCGGGCACGTTGGCACACTGTGCCCGTGAGTGGCATGTGCCATCTTCAGCACACTCGTTCACATCCTCACACTTGGAGCCGTTGCCTATGAATCCATGCTTACAGGTACAGGTATGGGAGCCCACTATGTTCAAACATGTGGCATTGACGTGGCAGGGGTTGTCCACTTTGCACTCGTCGATATCCGTACAGGCCTTGGTCGCTGTGGGGCGGTCAAAGCCCACCTGGCAGGGGCACTTATACGCCCCCTCAGTGTTTGAGCAGCGCTCATTGATGTAGCATGGCTTCTCCATGGCCTGGCACTCGTCTATATCCTGGCATATGGTGCGGTTGACCAGGTTGAACCCGGGCGGACACAGACAGGTGAAGGAACCTTTACTATTGATGCAGGTGGCTTTATTCCGGCAGCCTCCGTTGTCCACCAGACACTCGTTCACGTCCGCACACTGGATCACCCCATCCCCGGAGTAGCCTACCTGGCATCTGCAGTTGAACGTGCCCGCAAGGTTGGTGCAGAGGGCATTGGAGTGGCACTGCTGTGCCAAGGAGCACTCGTCCAAGTCCTCACAAGTGATGCCGTTGCCCCTGTACCCTGCCCTGCACTCACAGGTGAAAGAGCCCGGGAAGTTGGCACAGTTGGAGAAGAGGCTACAGCGCCCGATGGCACACTCATCCAGGTCCATGCACTTGGAGTTGTTAAAGATGTAGCCCGTGCCACAGTCGCAGTAGAATGACCCTCTGGTGTTGACGCACGCGGCCGAAGCAGGGCAGATGTTAGGGGTGATGCACTCGTCGATGTCTGTGCACTCTCTTCCATCCCCTAGATATCCGGAGCGGCAGGAGCAGTCATAGCTGCCCAGCACATTGATACAGGCAGCGTTGGGGTCACATGTATTCTCCCCATTACACTCATTGATGTCCCTGCATGCCACCCCATTCCCATTGAATCCATCAAAGCAGGTGCAGCTGTACGAGCCCAGCATGTTGACACAGTCAGCATAGAGACTACAGATGTTACCAGCACACTCATTAATGTCCTCACAGGTTTGTCCATTGCTCTGGTAGCCAATACTACAGCTGCATTGGTATGATCCAGGCAGGTTCTTACAGCCTTTGTAGCCAAAGGAGGCCGAGCAGACACCGGGAGTCTCTGAACACTCATCTATATCCAGACACAGGTAGTTCCCATTGCCCTTATAGCCTGTGTTACAGGTGCACACATAGGAGCCGGGGTTGTTAGTACAGGTGGCATTCCAATGGCAGATGCCACGGTTTGTGCATTCGTCAATGTCCGTGCACTGAAACCCATTGCCATTGAAGCCTCCCTTGCACTTGCAGTCTCTCCCTCCTTCTCTATTCGTACAGAGGGCATTGGCGTGGCAGCCACCATTCTTCGTCTGGCATTCGTTGACATCCTCACATTGGACTCCGTCGCCGAAGTAGCCATCCAGACACACACAGCTGTAGCTGCCCGGTGTGTTGTTGCAACGGGCCTTTGGGTGGCAGCCGTGGAGGCCGGTAACACACTCGTCAATGTCCTCACACAGTAGTCCATCTCCGTGGTAGCCAACCCGACACACACATACAAAGCTATTGCCTTTAGCCTTGAGGCACTCGGCGTGGGCGTGGCATTTACTTCCCACCGCTTCACAGTCACTCAGATCAGCAACTAGAGAGAAAGAGAGAAAGAGGAGAGAGAAGCGCGCATTAGAATAGAGAGAAACTTATGAAGTTAGTTTATTTAGAACTCATATACTATACTAGACCAAAACAAAATGTAATTGATAAAGAGAGAGATGATTAGAGTCAAGATTACATGCAACCAGATTGTGGACAGACTCACCTACAGAGCAGTATCCCAGCACTGCACAAAGACACACCAGTCTTAGCAGTGGTAACCTGCAAGATAAAGAGTACAGTGAAAATGGTGACATTGAAATGCATAACATAGAAATGTATTTCACACCGCCTTGAGACTGATTTGGAGGCTCTGGAAGTCCTGTTATTTGTCAATGCATTAACCTTCATCCCTTGAATTTGTATGAGTCACAGAGACCAGCACAGCAGTTATATCATATAGCTCAGCTCTGGGAAAGTAGGTCAATTCCTTGTTCTGCTTAATGGTAGTAGAGTATTTGTTACATTTGTTAGGGTCATTTGTTGCGTAACCCACTTCCACTCCAAACAATGGCACAGTAGCTACTATTACCTTAACATTAAGCTTATTTTTGAGACATGAATCAACCCACCACAAACTTGGATTAGCAAACACAACGTGCCATTGGAACACAGGACTGATGGTTGCTGATAATGGGCCTCTGTACGCCTATGTAGGTATTCCATTAAAAATCAGCCGTTTCCAGCTACAATAGCCATTTACAACATTAACAATGTCTACACTGTATTTTTGATCAATTTTATGTTATTTCAATGGATAAAATAATTGCTTTTCTTTCAAAAACAAGGACATTTCTAAGTGACCCCAGACTTTTGAACGGCAGTGTACATCATTTTGCAACTTACTTATACAGATGTCAAGACATATTCCCAAAAAGTATTTGATATTCTCTGCTGATAAAACATGTGATTACGAGTATATGTTTTTACTAATCATTTGGCAGTAACTTCTGTTTCTTTGATTAGGCCACAAAATTAACAACCTGAGAAAAAAGGACACTGTACTGGAACCCATTATTGTTTGTTCAAAGAATGTCCCCACAATGCATTGTTGAGCATCCAAATAGGTGAGACGTCTAAGTCCAGAGGGGTTGGAAATACAAGTCCACTAACAATATCCCACTGAATAGAGGAAAATGATGAGAATAATCCCTGTTGTCTGATTGGGTTACAAGCTAAATGCTAAGACTCCCTCTAGGCCAGCCAGGTTAAATTAGTGTGTGTTCATGGCCTGTGGGGACAGAGCTTCATACGTATGAACCCGGGTGGTGGTGAGTTGTTTTACATATACAGTGGGGGAAAAAAGTATTTAGTCAGCCACCAATTGTGCAAGTTCTCCCACTTAAAAAGATGAGAGAGTCCTGTCATTTTCATCATAGGTACACGTCAACTATGACAGACAAAATGGGTTTTTTTTTCTCCAGAAAATCACATTGTAGGATTTGTAATGAATTTATTTGCAAATTATGGTGGAAAATAAGTATTTGGTCAATAACAAAAGTTTCTCAATACTTTGTTATATACCCTTTGTTGGCAATGACACAGGTCAAACGTTTTCTGTAAGTCTTCACAAGGTTTTCACACACTGTTGCTGGTATTTTGGCTCATTCCTCCATGCAGAGCTCCTCTAGAGCAGTGTTGTTTTGGGGCTGTCGCTGGGCAACACAGACTTTCAACTCCCTCCAAAGATTTTCTATGGGGTTGAGATCTGGAGACTGGCTAGGCCACTCCAGGACCTTGAAATGCTTCTTACGAAGCCACTCCTTCGTTGCCCGGGCGGTGTGTTTGGGATCATTGTCATGCTGAAAGACCCAGCCACGTTTCATCTTCAATGCCCTTGCTGATGGAAGGAGGTTTTCACTCAAAATCTCACGATACATGGCCCCATTCATTCTTTCCTTTACACGGATCAGTCGTCCTGGTCCCTTTGCAGAAAAACAGCCCCAAAGCATGATGTTTCCACCCCCATGCTTCACAGTAGGTATGGTGTTCTTTGGATGTAACTCAGCATTCTTTGTCCTCCAAACACGACGAGTTGAGTTTTTACCAAAAAGTTATATTTTGGTTTCATCTGACCATATGACATTCTCCCAATCCTCTTCTGGATCATCCAAATGCACTCTAGCAAACTTCAGATGGGCCTGGACATGTACTGGCTTAAGCAGGGGGACACGTCTGGCACTGCAGGATTTGAGTCCCTGGCGGCGTAGTGTGTTACTGATGGTAGGCTTTGTTACTTTGGTCCCAGCTCTCTGCAGGTCATTCACTAGGTCCCCCCGTGTGGTTCTGGGATTTTTGCTCACCGTTCTTGTGATCATTTTGACCCCACGGGGTGAGATCTTGCGTGGAGCCCCAGATCGAGGGAGATTATCAGTGGTCTTGTATGTCTTCCATTTCCTAATAATTGCTCCCACAGTTGATTTCTTCAAACCAAGCTGCTTACCTATTGCAGATTCAGTCTTCCCAGCCTGGTGCAGGTCTACAATTTTGTTTCTGGTGTCCTTTGACAGCTCTTTGGTCTTGGCCATAGTGAAGTTTGGAGTGTGACTGTTTGAGGTTGTGGACAGGTGTCTTTTATACTGATAACAAGTTCAAACAGGTGCCATTAATACAGGTAACGAGTGGAGGACAGAGGAGCCTCTTAAAGAAGAAGTTACAGGTCTGTGAGAGCCAGAAATCTTGCTTGTTTGTAGGTGACCAAATACTTATTTTCCACCATAATTTGCAAATAAATTCATTAAAAATCCTACAATGTGATTTTCTGGATTTTTTCTTCTCATTTTGTCTGTCATAGTTGACGTGTACCTATGATGAAAATTACAGGCCTCTCTCATCTTTTTAAGTGGGAGAACTTGCACAATTGGTGGCTGACTAAATACTTTCCCCCCCCACTGTATTTCCCTCATTAAAATGCAAATCAATTTATAACATTTTTGACATGCGTTTTTCTGGATTTTTGTTTTGTTATTCTGTCTCTCACTGTTCAAATAAACCTATCATTAAAATTATAGACTGATAATTTCTTTGTCAGTGGGCAAACGTACAAAATCAGCAGGGGATCAAATACTTTTTTCCCTCACTGTAGGTGCCAGGCGCAGCCTACACACTTCTGTGCATTGTTCTTCTACAATTGAGAATCAACTATCAGAAACAGAAAGGGCAGGCAGCTTTGTACGTCATACATATAATTATGTGTATTAAATGGGTCTATGGTAAAGCCATGAAATGACATCTGTGCTCTCCATGTCCAAATGACATTGCCACCTCAGGGATTAAATTAATAAGAGGCGTATAATGACTTGATACCCATGTCATACAGGACCGGATTAACAAACTGGCACGCAGGGCACGACCTCCCCGCGGTGGGCCCCCAGATAACACATGATAGAATTGCAGAAAAAGCCTCTCTCATCTTTTTAAGTGGGAGAACTTGCACAATTGGTGGCTGACTAAATACTTTTTCCCCCCACTGTAAATACAGTCTACTGTAAGTCCCAGAGGACCTTATTCTACACAGTAAAGTTATACAGTTACAGTAAACTAAAAGGTCATGTTTGCCTCCTACCAAACCCCTACATTTCAACATTAGGTGCAGTATCTACTGTACTCTATGGGTAAGTTACTAGGCCATGAAGTGTAGGCTATTTGTTTTCAGGTCCAGAAATAGTTCAAGTTCAAATCTATTAGAATGTAATTGCTCTAATACAACATTCCAGTTTCAATGTTGAAACCCAAATGATCTATATCACAACTTGGCAAATGAAGAAGGTGAAAGAGACATGCATGTACCATTGCCTTCACTTACGGATATGTTTACTGAGCACCAAAGAACGGGTATAGAATGATATGTATTCACTTTTATTTAATCAGGGGAGCCCAATTGAGACCAGGTTCTCATTTTCAATGGTGCCCTGAGACCATAAAGTAAAATATAAAAATATATACAATAGCAAGCATCACTAACATCATAGCCATCCTAAACAAGTTATTAAATCAATCAATGTAAGGATTGCCTTTGAACATTTTCTGTTCCCCTTGCCAGGGTAAAGTGTGTCATCAGACAATGTCTTTATATTACGTTTCCTGCTCAGTATCACAGACACCGGAGTACACAAAAAATTTGACAATAAATTATGAAAACTTTCATAATCACAGAACATAAGTATGAAACGACCAATTAGGAACCTTTCCAAAATGTATCATTTAGAAACCCTCATGTGTCTATAAGTCAGTCAGAGCGCACCAACAAGTCACAGAAAAAAAAAAATATATGTATATGACTCAAAAAGGCCATCGGACATTTATAGCTACAGGTATCATAACAGAGAATTACTCACCACATATTTTTCTATATTCTCAGAGTCTAGGAGGCTTTCATTGGGGCTGAGAGTGCAGGCTTCTCTCGGCTGTAAGGTGTGTGTCTCTCCTTCTCTCTGTGTCCTCTCCTCCTTTCTTACCCAGGCTGTGTGCCAGTTCAGTTCCTCCACTCCTGTCTCTTGTCTCCTCGAGGGACACAAAACAACAATCTACCATACCTGAGAGCCCTCTGACATCTTCAACCTCTGAGAAGGGGAACACCCATATTTTTCATTATGTTCTGTTCCTCTCACAATAACTGGACTAGTCCCCTGAGGCATTCATTTGTCCTCCTCACTGTAAAGGGATAGAGCCAAATAGACAAGGAACACTGGTCGGGATGGGTTCATCTGTAAAGAAGTGTTAAAATAGTTTTACAGTGTTATTCTACTGAGAATAGTTCACAATTATCTGATGTGGGCATTTTACATTTGGGTTCCATTCTACATGGATCATGATTGCTTATTGTTTTCTAGGAGGAAGGCCTTTGCATAAACTGTACAGAATGTGCCTCTAGGAATCAGGGCCCACATTCACAAAGCGTCTCAGAGTAGGGGTGCTCTAGGATCAGGTCTCTCTTCTTATTCATTAAAGGTCTACAGGCAAAACAGATCTGAGATCAGCCCTCCTAATCTGAGATGCTTTGTGAATACAGCCTCAGGAGTCCAAATAGTAGGAGTGCTGATTTAGGATTAGTTTTGCCTTTTAGATCATAATGAATAAGATCAGGACAGATCGTAGATCAGCACTCCTACTCTGAGAAGCTTTGTGGATACATTGCAGGTACTTCACTCGTAGACCTGCTAATCAGCTGTGTGGTGAGATAAAGAAATAAAGGCTACAGGTAGATAAAGTAATAAAGTAAGTCTACTATGTTGATAAGGCCAGTTAAAGGGAAACTACCTGTCTGGTTTGTCAGTTCCATTCCCAGGTGGAACAATCACTTGAATACAGTGTTTTGATATGATATTTTTTATTGTCTGATCAATATATAT